GCTCCTAACACGGCAGTCGCTTTGAGGAAGACACATTAATTTAATTTTTTTGTTCGTGATTTTCTAACCTGCCGTTTCATGAGACCTTTTAATCTATCCTGTTCTGTGGGAATATGCTTGTTTGGTTGGCAGCCCTTCAATACTTGTTTTAGTCTGAAAAACAGTTTTTACATGGGAGAAGGAACGATCCCCCACCATATGGAAACGACAATCTCATATATGATGTTCTTTCTAGCAGTTAGTTGTTAAGTCCTTCTTCCACCACTGACTTATGAAAAACGTATAAACTCCTTACGGACGAAAAACGCTACATGATCGTGAATGAGGTTGGAGGATGCTTGCAGAGATTTCACTTACTTTTGTGTAAAATCGTTATTTGCAACTTAAGGATAACAAAAGATGTCACCCTCATAGTTTCGGAGCCAAAAATTACGAGTTAGTTTTGAAAAACAGTCTGCGTTTCGAATCTTGACAAACTTAAAGAGAGGCTGTTCATTTGTTTATAATCGCTGGTCATTTCAGGTGCACTTGAGCTCATTTATCATCTAAAGTTCGATAACGAAAGTCCCGAAGTCTGCAGTTCAACGTAGGCTCCGGTTGAATTCTTGGGGATCCCTAAAAATGCTGCTCACGGTGGACTATCTCTTTTTTCGTTTAGTTTCTCTTGCTCCGTGCATTCTGCTTTGAGTTATATGGTCTACTAGATCATCTGATACGTCAGTTTCTCCTAAAGCTCTATAATCAGAAGTATCGTCAGTCTTTGTCCCACGTCTGAGTACATCACCAGAAGAAAACTAATATGTTGCGGTTCCTCTAACCATGCGACATAAACGCCGCTGACTGCTTTTCGATATTTTCTCATCTATTCAATGAGCATTTTCTCAGTTTTCAAATTGCCTTACATTCAATTGCTACTTTACTTCAACAAAGGGCACCAGTTTACTAAGTAATCTGCATGTTTATTTTTTTCGTTGTGTATTTTCGCCCACTTTTATTTCCATGGCACAATTAAGAGGGGCGGATGGGATGGCAGCTCATAGTTTGTATTCAAACGTCATTAATAGTCACGCCCTACTGCCTTTTATTCAGTACCACTATTTGACGTTATTTTTGGCGGAATGTTAGTCCGTTCTCGTGGTTTAGGTTCCCATTTGAATTCGATACACGTTAACTTCCCGTTTATTTTTTTTGCAGCTTTCCTTAAAAAAGCCGAACAAGTTAAAGCTGAAAGGAAAGTGCACAGTCATTATTTTCTTAGTTGAGACAATTAGAAATCTAGGAAAGCCCACGGCGAAAGGCCTGCTGCCGCGGGGCATGGTCAAAATGCCGATCACCTGAATTCGCGTCGGAGCAAGAGACTGGTTTGCCACAGTAGGTTGAGCAAATTGAATTTTGTTTCAATAAGTCGGCAAAAGACGTCGTAATCTTTCCGATTTTTTCATGTGAACTCTTTACTGTCCAGACAGATTAGATAAATATGCTTATCAGCAGATAAGGGTACTCTGTATAAAGACGACTATGCCGATGTTTCAGCGGAATACTATAAAAAATTGAAAAAACATACTCAGTCGCTATCGAATCATAGTTGTCTTACTAATTTTTTCGAGTATGCCGGTCGACATATAGTACTTTAGTAAAACATGTTTCCCCTATCCCGGGAAACTTAGGTTCCCAAAGCAACACTATCACCAAAACAGAAACTATGACTTTCATTTTTTCCCTTAGATAAGACGCGTCAATAGGAACCATTCCATCCCGTAATACAGCTGGCCTTGTGCCAAATTCCAGAGATTAGATTAAGGTTTCGTTTGGGGTCAGTGTTAAGACATGGGAATGGATGTCCTCCCCTGAGTTAAGCGCAATGTCCCTTTTATACTAGGAGTGTTCCTATTTACATGTGTGAACTATTATTAACTAGATCTTGGAGTCTTTGAGGAAGTCAGTTCGAAAATGTAAGGATATTCATGCATCTCTATGCTCTAATGCCTTGCTCTTCTTCTACGAACCCTGTAGGTTGATTTTGTCAACAGACATGAAGCGAAGACAATTTAAAAGACTGAGGGGAATCTTGCGCGTTGTCTACTGGTGCTAACGCAGTCAACCTGTGACTGCTAAATAAAACGATCGGTCACTACGGTCATCCCATGAGTGAACATACCAAGGTAACGAAATGGACTAATCACTCTCGTTTAATATAGAACAGTGTGCTACTCACCGCATTCGGGGATGCAAAAATCATTGACCGAAAGTATGACGGCACAGATTGGGAGAGATGCTGGGATACGGCAACAAGTCCTACCTCTCTGCAAGCCTCATTTACAGTCATCTCGGCGATGACCACAGTTACAGATTTTGGGATGTGTTTTTACCCTCTTTGTCGAGGGTAGATGTTTGCTTGCTGAGAATACGCCAGGACAAAACGTATCGGTTTCTGAAACCCTTTCTTCTAATGCTACTCTGAAGATCGTCTGTGTTTTGTTTGTCAGTATTCTAGCCCAGGGGGATCAGAAATTTTCGGCGATAGTTTTATGACAAGACTCAAATAAACTGGCCCAGCTGTGCATTCTTGTCACTCGGCATGCACAAACTACAACCACATATTGCCGATTAAATTGAACATGCACTTTATAAATTTTTGACTGGAATACTCGAAACGCATCCTTCTGAGCAAGTCATTTATGCGGGATGAATAATGAAAAAGGTAGCAGAAACTGCGTTGGATCCTTCTGGCCGAATGACTTTTATCAGTCAGCAGTGTGCCTTAAACTTAGATTTGACTGATGACGGCTGATAGGCCGGAACCGGCCATTACGAACTGCCTGTCTTCGTTAGCATTTAGTTTCCATCAGTGTCGGTAGCTGTATGATATCCTTCTAGGGCTCTAAATTGAGCTTCAAAGCGCAATAGTACAAACAGGTTCCGAACTGCAGCTGCATTAGTCAGCGATTATTTCAAGTTTAAGTTGTTTATTGTATTATGTTTTCGGTTGTAGAAAAGTATTTATTAAAGAAAGTGGAGATCAATAAAGGACGCATATGTGTCTTAACAAAGTAGCCGTATGAATGCATGCGGTGACGTATTATGATGACAAAACTTCCGATTCGTCCACCTTATCTGGCGGTATCAATTACTGGCTTGTCCTCTCAAAAAGCGTGCTATTAATAAGTATTAACATTGCGGAGTTCGAATGGTCCAGGAGTTTTCCTTGCACGGCAGGAATATCCTCATCATACCATACTCTAGCGAGTTTGCTTGATTCGGGCTCTGAAGCCCCGTTCTGTTCGGGCAAATATTCAGATAGTGTCTTTATAAAAAAAAGTACGCAGCACTGTCCCTCTCGTTGCATTTATCTTGCATTTTTAAGTATACAGCTTCAGAATCCCTGTTGGAGTGTTTTCTTGAAAAACAGAGGATGCTCTCGTTAGTTACACCCCAGACCTACTGTAAGTGCATCCTCATTCAGAAGACAGTTTTAGTGAAATTTCCGACTGACATACCAGAAAGAGGAAACAGTATTCACGTGACCGTTTCCGATAAGCGATCTCAGCTGTCGTCTAGCCTAAAACGGTGTGAGTCAGAGGACCATGACACATGACAGTTCGACCATCGGTTTCGATGATGTCCACCGTGTGCTCCACAGTTGCAGCAGCAGTGGGAGCAGGGACGGTGACTTACGCAGGGGTTTATAGTGAAAGTAGACTTGCGTGGCATCTAACTACACTCTTTCCTCCTCCCTCGCCCGAGCCCGGTGTCAAGACAGAGTCCAGAAGACCGGAGACGAGGGAGGCCGCAGGTGGATGGCTCGGACGGATCCTCACCTTGGCGTTCCACCACACCCCCTGGTCCACACAACAATAACCAGGATTTCAACCAATCACAACAGAGATTTGGAGGCTGGCACGGCCGAAGCCGCACCTAGGCGTACCGCCAACGCCTGGCTCGGATCCCACATTGTGGTGGGAGTGCCATAAAGGCCACATTAAAAAGGAGCCATTGCAGCCTGACTCTCAGACCGCCTCCATTCAAGGAGGAGGTCCAAGTTACCCCGTCAGTTGGCAACCTTCCAAGCCACGGCTTTTAGCGCACCGTGATAGCTTCAAGCGCGTCAGATTGTTTATAGTGAGGAGAAAGTGCGTTGAGTCGTCGACCTCACTCGCCCATCCCACTCGCACGCCCCAGCCGCTGTCCGAGCCGGTCAGCAGACTGGAGTGAGGAGTGGGCGCGGTGGCTGTCATGGTCGACTGACCATGACTGCGCGCGCCACGGCACGACCTGGCCCCCCATACACACAAAACCAGGATTTCACACCACGGGGGTTGAACGGCGTGTCTCTCACTTGCGTGAGAGGGCCGTGGAAGGTGCAGCTTCAGCCCGTCCCCAGCCCACCAGTCCGCCACTCCACACAACGCACACACACACACAACGCGACGAACTGCGTGAGCCGAGAGCGGGTGTCAATCAGCAACCTTCCTATCCACGACGCTTGACGTGTCGGGATAGTCTCGGGCTCAAGTCACCCGTGCAGCCGAAGCCGCATGGGGACCGAGTCGAGATGCACACTTCCCACTTGCGTGGGAGGTGGCAGTTAGGTGCGTGTTGATGTGTGGTGGTGATGGTGGAGGAAGATAGGGAGTGTGTGAATGTGTGGTGTAACCGGCGGTTGTCTACCGCAGGTCATCGTGGATACGCATGTGTCCGAATAGGCCCATGCGATGCCTGAAAGTTCGAAGACAGTGTGGGCAGTTGAGTCGAGCTTGGTGGGTGTAGGTTGGTGCTCCAGGCACTGGTTCGCCAGTCTCTGTGCGATGGATTCGCAAGTGACCGACCAGGCCGATGTGTGAGGTGAAGGTGCGTGGACAATGTGGGCATGAGAGGTTGGCGGTGTCGGTGTCAGCTGTAGAGGAAGCGGTGGTGGTGGTGGTGATGGGCGCGTGTGGCGATGGAGCGAGGGGGGTGGTGGGCCTGGTGGGTGTGTTGGATGTGGTGGGTGTGTCAGAATTTTAGTCAATTTCGCTCTCGTGAATGCGCATGTGACCCAATAGACCGATGCGATGCGTGAAGGTGCGAGGGCAATGTGGGCAGTGGAGGCGAGTGCGGTGTGTGTAGGTTGGTGCTCCAGGCACTGGCTCGCCAGTCTCTGTGCGCTGAATTCGCAAGTGACCGACCAGGCCGATGTGCGAGGTGAAGGCGCGGTCGCAGTGAGGGCAGGTGTTGTCCTGATCCTCATCGCTGGATTTGGGAGAGGTAGGGGTGGTGTCTGCTGTTGTGTCGCGGTTGGTGATGTGCGAGACGGCCGCCTGAGCGGCCGCCGTTGGGGCAGTGGTGGAGGAGGAGGAGGATGAGGAGGGGGAGGAGGACGAGGACGAGGAGGAGGACGAGGAGGAGGATGGAAGTGGTGGGTCAGAAGAATTGTCAGAGTTAGTTGGCAGCGGAGGGGAGGAAGAGGCGAGCGGGGGGACGATGGTTGGTGCAACTTGAGAGGCGCAGTTGATCCGAAGGTGTCCAACAAGTCCGATTCGAGCCCGGAATGTCCGTTGACATCGAGGACACGTTGGAAGCGGTTGTGCGGCGGCGTTGCGTATTGGGCGAAGTTGTGATTTGCGGGCTTTGCGTTTCGCTTTGGCGGCAGCGATGCGGTTGGCTTCGTAGATCGCAGCGCCTGTCTTCACTGTCCTCCTCCAGGTCGGTCGATCGAGTGCGAGCTCCTCCCAGTTGGTGGGGTTGATTTGCAGGCGTTTCAGGGAGGACTTCAGCGTATCCTTGTAACGGCGAATCTGGCCTCCTTGACGGCGAGAACCCGTCGCGACGTCTCCGTAGAAGAGTGTGTAGGGTGTAGGGATGGCCACTATCACTCAATTACTCGAAGCAACCGCCTTAATCGTGCTTTTGAGCTCTTTTTTGCCCATGAGACATAGTCTTGTTGGGCGCGCACAAGGATATAAGGTGGTTAGTTGGACGAACATCTGACAGTTGCACCCGTCGCAGGTTGTTGAAATGGCGTCATTACTACGATCTAGTCCTTGTTCACGCTAAAAACGAGACCGTAAACACCCCCAGCGACCGCGCTTCCCAAGCGCAAAACGTCGTTTTTCGTTCTTTTGTCTTCACCAGTAGCCATCGGCATGGTTCCACTGCAAGCTTTCAGCCTCCAAAACCGCAGGCTAACAGGCAGACGAGGGACTGTCTATTCCTTGTGGGTAGCGCTGTCTTTCGAGCATATCACCTGCCGGTAAAGTGTTACCTCTCCTGAATCCACAAGTATTCTTTTTATGAATAGTTCGAAAGACTTATTATGCAATAGTCCACTGGCGGGATGGTAGTTGGTAGCCCTGCCAGTTAGCGATCCTTTCCTGCACTTCCAGTTTAAGGCACTACGATTTCAGTAGCTGTTATTACGTTCTCAATATGTCTGGGAGTGCAGGCGCAGAAGCCCTGTCAGGATGACTTTCTTGTTCACTTTAACCGCCCCGAGAACCAGGCGATGCAAAAATGCCTATATAGATTAATCGTATTGCACCCCCCACACGTACAGCTTTAGTAAAAGGCGAAAGATTTATCCTAGGCGGATTATGATTAATCATGCTTCTCATTACCATCCTAGGCGGATTGGCGCGGGTCTCCGTTTTGTCGGTTTGCCTGCGTCCTTGGGTCTTTTTACTCCAGACCTCCTGCAGAGTTCGACGTGATCGTGTACGAAGAGGACAACCGTCGCGCAGATAGGGTGTCTACCGATTCTCCACCCACGTATAGCACACAACTACTGACATAGTTTTAATTCTAAGTGTGGCCACGGTGGCAACAAACTATTATTTGCGGATTTTCTCTTCCGCTCAAACATATTCTTGGAATTAAAGTCTTACCCCGCTTGCGTTATGCCGTCCTGCGTGTCGCTGCTTGATTCTCGTGTTCTCATGTCCATTCTGTCGGTTTCAGTAATATCGCACATACTGCGGAATGACCTTAAGACACTTTGCCCTCTTCCCATTGGTTGTTCACCTTCAGTTGCTATTCTTTCCAATCTGGGGTAAGGCTGCATTTATTCCGCATACCGTTCTAATTAACCATGCTCATTTCCATACCCTTCTTGCATTTTCCACCTTATTTAAATTAGGCTTTCACTTTAGCAGGAGCGTCAATTCCAGGCATACACTACCAGCGCCATTTACGCCTCCACTCATTTGCCCCACCCGTATAGCCCCTATTACCACCGGTCCCGTAACACAGGTAGCTGGGAGTTTTCGGCACCGGGAGGGCTACCAACTACCATCTAACCAGTCCACTTATGGCGAACCTTAGATGTTACTTAAATGAGTATTATTTTCACCTTCATGCCAAACCAGCGCTGATGCGCTTCCTAGAGCAGCATAATTTATTATCTGATGCGCAGCATGGGTTTCGTAGTGGCAGGTCTTGCGTGACTAACCTGCTCAACTGTTTGGAACGTTGGACTCGGTCAGTTGATGAAGGCAATGCGCTGCATGTAGTCTATATCGACTTTAAAAAGGCATTTGATAGTGTCCCACATCAGCGACTCCTGCACAAACTGAGCCGAACAGGCGTTAGGGGTAACCTCTTAAAGTGGATTCAAAGCTTCCTATTAGACCGTTGTCAAACTGTCCATGTCGGTGGCCAGAAGTCGACGGAGGTTGCCGTAGAAGGCGGTGTTCCCCAAGGCTCAGTTCTTGGTCCTACTTTGTTCATCATTTACGTCAACGATTGCGTGAGTGAACTGGATTGTGGTGTTGCCATGTTTGCGGATGACATTAAGCTCTGGAGCGTCATTCGAACTGCAGATGACGAAGAGCATCTGCAGGCGAACCTAAATCGACTCCAACAGTGGTCAAAGGCGTGGCTTCTGCCGTTCAACGAGAAAAAGTGCAATATTCTACGAGTCGGCAGAGCTCGCTCTCCGAACCATATGGCCTACTGCCTAAATGGTATACCACTGCAAGAAGTGGACTCGCAGAAGGACTTGGGAGTATGGATTACGACCTCGCTCAAACCCTCGCTGCACTGCACGAAGATAGCCAAATCTGCCATGTCAGTCCTCTACCTTGTCAAGCGGGCTTTCTCTGCCTTTGACGAAGACTACTTCGCTAAAGTCTTTCGAACTTTTGTGCGTCCGCAACTAGAATTTGCTATCCAAGCTTGGAGACCCTGGACCGCGAAGGACCTCAGCATCCTTGAAAGGGTTCAAAGGCGTGCAACGAAACTTGTGGCAGGACAGGGTTCACTAACATATGCAACGCGGTTAGCTAACCTTGATCTCTTTCCCTTGAGTTACAGGCAGTTACGGGGTGACCTGATACAAGCCTTCCGTATCATACGCGGTCAGGACTGCAGCCTCGTACCGGGTGACTTCTTCGAGTTAGCAACCACCACAAATCTACGGGGCCATCCATTCAAACTACGTGTGACAGGAGCCAGACTGGACACACGAAAGTTCTTCTCCAACAGAGTGCTAGAAGCCTGGAATGCCCTGCCTGTGGATGTCGTTATGTCTGCTTCCGTCGAGGTCTTTAAGAGGAAGCTGGATTTGTGTAGCAGTGTGCACTAAATTACCACCCCGATCTCTGCAACCTCGACAAATTCCGTTATTATAATACTACTTGCTATATTTCAGTAACATTTTAAATTGAATTTATTATTGTACCAACCCATCGCCTACGCTTACTGACATGCACATATGCAAATTTTGTCCCCGGATATATTATTTATTTCGCTGCACTCGAAACGACAGCTCTACAACTGCTCGTACCACTAAAATTCGAGACAGTTTGTTTGTCTGTACAGACCTGACGTTTTTCCGATTATTTGTTCCTTTATGATACCTTTTCGAGTTTTTGAGATTTTGCAGTTGCTTGTAAACAAATAGGGAGTTCAAAGGTGAAAACCTACATTTCCCTCAATAAACTGAACTGAACTGAACTGATATGATTGTAGATAAAACAAAGTAATTGCGGATCCCATATGCCTGACGAAGTTTATTTTGCTCCATCAGACTGATTTGTTTGAGGCAGTGCCAACTTGAAATCCGGAGCATTCATTGCCTCAAAGCAATAAAGCCCTAGCCACAGCTGAGATTTCCTAATTATATTCCCAACCTTAAACGCAACCTTAACTGCAGCCTTGCCGCTAACCCCAACTCTAGCTTTATAACTAACCGTAAACGGTTTCCTAACTTTTATCATACCCATATTTCTAACATTAAAGTCCAGACCGGTTTTAGCCAGTTAAACATCGTAAAACACATCTTTATCCAGAACATTCTATTCCTGCACAGGATTTAAGAGTCGGATAGCTCACTATGTGAATTACTCCTCATTCGCCAGAGAGTCTCTATCTAGTCTTTTAGACGGTTCTCCGCGTTTTTCCAGGAGCATATAATTCTATTTACTTTGAAAGTCTATTTACATGTTTAACTAACTATGAAAGTGCTTGTCCAAAAACGCCCAAACATATTTAACCCCAAAATAGGTTTTTAGAGAGAAAAGGGGCATTTAAAAGAGTTCTTTCTATTCTTATAGAGATCAAAAGATTATTTCCACATAACTTTACCCCATATGAAATGTCACAGGGCAGTAATACTTCCATAAAAATAACACCAAAATCTTTTCATACAACCCAGAAAACTATTTCTACGCCTATAAAGGCAAATACGGGCCCTCCGCCATGTTTACCTCCCTCTTGATGCTGTTTATCCCCTAAGATTGGACCCTCTAAATCTTCACGGCTAAACAGATGTCCGTAATCAGGCAGCTAGTTTACTTTTATGCCCAGGCTGAGGGAAAGACAAAGGAATTGCCATGGGACCCACGACTCTTACCGCCAACAATGTGCTTTTCCTGGGAAATCGGGGATCAGCGGCCACATCAAAATGACCATGCTTTGTTTTGCAGCGCCTTAAACGTGAGTGTTAAGTTGAGTTATTTGAGTGTCTGCCAAACCCACAAGAATCTCCAGGAGGTGTAATGTTGCCAAGTGGGAAGTTCTCAGCATTAGTACATGCCCTGAAAGCACTTGCAACGACCTAAAATGTGATTTCATGAAACTTCGACCTTGCGACCCGCAAATTCTCCCTCTTCCTACATTTTTCACCTGACATGACTAACGACCTGTATTACTAATATAATTCGCAATCGACAAAGGAATTTTGGAAAACGTGTGTGAAATTCATAGTACGAGTGAAGAGTGGATCTTTGGGCGAGTTTGTTTTCAAAAAACCCGTGAGGTCTATGCCTATACGCAAAGAAAAAGTGTAAATAAAATTAGTCTAGTTCTGATACATTGCGCAATACGGACTCATATTTGTTCAATAGACAAAAGTGTTCTGTTACTGAATACCAGAGCATTCAAAAGTGGACAACGAAGACATAATGATCGCCATTTGATGGTGTTCGATTTGCAACAGTTACCAATATACTGAGTTCTGTTCTGTCATTAGAACTTGATGTTATAATTATGACGCTATTTTTTTTCAAAGCCTCCTGTTAACGAGTACCAGGTTTATTCTGCTTTTACGACGCGCTTGCTTCAACATTTTTGAGGTTCCCATTTAATTTATCATAAAGTAGGGACTTTTAGTTATATTGCTGACAGCCACAGTTGGGTTCGAGTTTAATATAGACTTTGTCGTATGTTCCTATATAACTTTCACATAGTTTACTACGCTTTTGCGACCGAGAAATGTGTAGACTTAGATGAATCTGCCAACGGTTTTATAGAAAATTCGTCTGCTGAGATTTGATTTTATAAGACACTCGCCATATAGCCATCAAGGCTGGTAAAGCAGCGCATTGTATTACTGTATGAATCATACATTCTGAGTGGCTACGAAAACCTCTAACCACTACAGGTATCTATAACAACCTCCATATTATAAGGCATTATGAGGAACATGCAGTTTTACAACTAATTCCGGCCTATGCTAGTCTTTACAAAGGTATGTGTGATTTTACCCAACGATGACTTCATAGCCAGCTTGACGGTCATCGTAATTTGCTTTCTTTCTTAAACATCTTTGACGAAAATGAAATATTTCGAATCACAACCACACTAAGACGTTTCACAAACTGCTCCTGCCCGTCTACTATCCACATTATCTACTTCTTACCGCTTTAGAAAGGCCACCAACTTGACTGTCAAGCAGATGTTGGTGTTTCGCAACACTTTGAATGTCCAGGCGAATCGTACTTATTAGATCTGATTACAACAGTCGAACTGAGGCTGTTATTTATCCTCTAACCCCTCTGAACCGTAATTCGTCCAAAGGAGCCGGAAGAGTAAATGATGCGAGCGACTGATTGGGTTTAACTACATTCAACTGTCAGAAGCCCTGTTTGAATGAATTATCAAGTTGAATCAGTAATAAGTTTTAGTCTGTTCTGCTATAGAAAGAAAATAATCCATGCTTGGAAAATTATCGAGTCAAAGTCTTCAGCTAAATCTCTCTGCTCCCTGTAGTCAGGATATGAATATGCCAATTCCGAGAAATGAAAACTTGTTTATGAAGTGCTACGCCTATTGTCAAGATATATCTAATTTTTTGGATTTTTGTTTCCTTAGCACGAAACACATAATTTCCCTCTTTTCAGACAATCACTCTTACCCTTTCTTACGCGTTTATCGTGTCTCAACTCTTACTACTACCCACACCTCCAAGACATTTGATTGCTGTCTGTGGTAACTGACTGATTTAGTCACCGCGTAGAACCAATCAAGTATTTCACAGGCTTTCCCTGGGGAGATCATGAGAAATCTGGCTTTTGCTCTCGTCAGACAAGTTCTCCCGGCGAACGGCAAGCATCAGAGCTGTATAGACCCCTTCAGGAGAAATACCACCCACAAAATGTGGCCGCAGTTTGGGGCGTCGACCCAAGAGCTGCCTCTTGTGTTCTGTTTGTGTGAGGCCCGCACAACCCTAGGTGGACTAAAAAACGTTACATGTAAGAAGTCAAGAACATCGTGAGATTGCTGCTTGCTGATGTGTCTGCGTGGTCTTCTTAGGAAACAAATTTTGCACACGAGCGGAAGACTTTCTGGCGCAGGCACACATCCTGAAGATCGGGGAGAAAAACTACCACACTTTGTGTTTCAGGCCCATGAAGCACTGAATTAAACATGTGAATGTAGTTTTAGCAGAAAAACTTTCGCAGGCCTATTCGAAGTGCACATGGGTAATAAACAAATGCTGCTGCTAATTCTCACTTGGCATATTATTGGCTGGGAGTAGGTATCTTTCTAGGTAGTAACAATAATTGCACGTTGAAGATCTGGCAGTAATAAATGTGTAATATGTATTATCGGTTTTCATTTGGTGCATAAATCTAGTCACATATTGGAAAAGTCTGTAGACAACTTCGGGTCTTTAAATGAACTTTTGGAATTCGTGCCTTGTTAAAGTTTATTCCTGGGTAGAGTTATTCGGACTTTCAAGAACTTGAAAGCACATGTATTCCTCGTTCTGATGGAAAACTTATACTTCCCATGCCGCAATTTATTCAACTAAAATGTGTATAGCCTTTTTTTAACAATGTAGAGGATGCTGCCGCAGCTCAAAATGTTCTAATAGACAAAAATCACAGTGCTTTATCTCAAAATATGAATATATCCTTATCAGTTAGTCGCGTGAGGTCCTGTAAGATTGCCAAAATTGTTAATGTTCCGAAATCAAACAGCTCGTGCCCTAAAACAGAACAAATTACATGAATTTGCACTAATTATTTTATAAAATAGGCTGCATAAAAATAGGCATTTCGATGGGGCTGAAGGTTTGCACACTTAGATTCAACTTCCAAGATGCTATTCAGTGTGCTTTGAAGCAAATTTAGATGTGCACTAGGCTGGGCTAAAGAATGAGAAATATAAAAGGAAAATGTTGGCGTCCAGAGTCCTTTAAAAAAAATTGTCAGTCTCTCCCATCGGCACGTCCTTCTGAATGCGCGCAATGAAATAGAAAACTGCCAGACCAGTCAGTAGCTTTAAGTATCTTTAGCTAAATGACTTTCAGCAGTGGAAGGCGGTAAGCCAACGACTCCTGCTCTAATCTACTTATCTGATATTTTGTATAATGCTTAATCTGAGATAATAAATAGTTGGCATGAACAAGGGTTCCGATTGGCTAGCGTATGTTTGTTCTTGTGGCGGCGGCAAGTCACTTTTCTGCTTAAAGACGTGGATGGATGGTAACAGACGGGGAAGCTTTCGTCAGCCGTTCTACCGACTACACAAGGAGGAATTTGAGACGGGCGTTTCCATTGCCTTTCAAACAACCGTAGGCGGGACACATTAAGAGTGTGGCCTTGGGAGGAATATGCAAGCCTAACAGCATCCAGTGGTGTAAAGTAATTACTCATGAAACGGTTGATTCTTCATTCTGTTTTATGCGCATGAATATTGACAGCATTCGTCCTTATTAAAAACTACTAATATTCATGTATGTGTTTGTTGGTTAACGCAAACTGGTAAGAATTCCAGTTCTTTCTGAAAACTTGAAATTTTGTTTGCAGTGCAGACGCACGTGTCATAATTGCTGCAGTCTCATTTTGTATTTCATGCGAATGTTGTCAGCGCCAAGACCACTGCTGGGTGGATGCATGTGAACATCGAATCACTATATACCTTTGATTGCGTTGAAGCATCATTATGCCGACTGGCGGTATGTTCACCATAGTAACATTTTGTTGGACGCAGTAAAGAAGGGAATACACATTTGTGGAATTCAGAGGATTCAACGACAATGGAGCAGAACGACTAAACAACGGACAATACAATATCGAGGAAGCACTTGACCTGGAAATGTAAAAATCTCCTTTTTCAAGAAAAATTTTCTCAGCAAATACCCGCCTTTATGATTACGCACATTGGAAAACGCAGTTCTCAAATTTACTTTGATATATTTACATATAAACCCCTAAATAATGTCACACTAAAGTAAGGGTTAAACTATACTAATCTCGCAGGCTAATTAATACCTTTTGATTTCTCAGAGATGGGTGGGTTTTTCAGAGGAACAATGATCTGTTGTGAACAACACACTAAATAGTCTAAGCAAGCTACGAAAATGCATTTTTTTCCAGGTTGATTATAATAAAAGAGTAGGATGCGTGCTAAACAGAATTGCAAAACGATCATTTAGGAGCTGGAACAAAAATACTTCAATGTGGAGTCTATTTTCGGCAGCAAAAAGACAAACAGTAAATATGAGAATCATTTGAAGGCATTGATAAAAGCTCGTGTAAAAAGTGTGTGTTGAAAGTTTGTCAAGTGGTTGACAAAAAACGAAATCGAAATAAAAAAAATCCATAAGAGCATGATCAGTAAATTCTGATTTTTTCCAAGTTTTCAAAGTGTTACGAGTATCTGAGTCTGACTGATTGCCGATTGAGGAGAAATGAAGTAACCCAAGAAAACCGGTAGCCCGAAGGACAAGCATCTATTCACTTTCGCCTATTTTCTATCCAATTACCATGCATAATTTACTTATTTTTTCTCCTAAAAGACATTACACTCTAAAAATAGTGTTCCTCCATACAGGGTAAGCGACAGATGCAAAGGCAGTTCGTTTTCTAAATGAGCGACCGAAGTAAGATGCATAGAGACGCTGTGCACAACAACACTGAGGGTTTAAAGTCGGACCCAAATTGGTCGGCTATGAGCACGTTAAACGCAAAGCACCCAGAGATAAAGGTAGAATTGAAAATAAAATTAACAGCCTAACCTAAAACAGCAAGTCATTATGTTGTTAAAACTGTATGTCGCTATTTTTGAGACAGTCGGGCAGGACTATAGTCTAGTAATCTGCGTATTCACATAAGCTCGCCAGCCCAACTTACATAATTAACGACCGAGGATATCAACTTCCTCATCGTTTTGAATCTATATGATAGCGAAATTTTTCCTAGTAGCTTATTCTAAGCTCTGCTTTTGTTAAGGCCCATCATCAGTATCTTTGACTTAACATGCAAACGATTTTAACAAAATACAACATCCGAGCCGAATGGAGGCAATGTTATATATGTTTTGTTTAAAACAGAACGGGTTGTCTAATCTAGAATATCAGTATCCTCCAACTGAAATTCTTTGCCTTTTATAGCAAATCAGTAGTGCAGGTCCATCAAATGGCGTTTGCTTCAAAACGTCTAACTAGAGGTACTCCAATCGCTTATGGTATTTTTTTCATCCTCAGCACTAAATTGTTTTTGTACGTTATTATTTTCGTCTATTTTATTTATCTATACAGGTCGACGACACAGGATTGTTGATCTGATACAAACGTTTTTGACTTATGTATTTGCATGTTTCCAGATAAAGTTGGCATTTCCAGCCAACGTAATACATTCTTCAGTACTTCCTCTATGCTTTCATTTTCCTGAAGATCGTTTGCCGATGCTTGGAAATTTGGCCGGTGCATTCAAGCGAGTTTCCTGGTTTGGATGGCGTTTTTTGCATTCAATCGTATTTCACGAATTGGGTTCCTTACTGTATATACTTTTTGACCGAACTCATTAAACCTAATGAACGAAATTTAGATGATTATTTTGGGACATATAAAACATTCTGCATCTTATTTATTCAGCACCCGTTCCGAAAAACGTTCTTTTTTTATTCCAAGTATGTTTTAAGTAAGTTTTTAGGGCAAAAGTTTTATAAATTTGAGCCTAAACCGTTGAGCCTTACCTTCTATCGGAGAGCCTTTCCATTCTAATAACTGTCCCAGACCAAGTTTGTTGGCTCCCTAGAACGGGCCACAGGATAGATGGCTAGACCAACGCAGGGGTTAGATTGTCATCTGGCAGGCGTTATCGGGAATGCGTATCCGTAACAGATGCCAACATTCGGGGTGTAGTGGTGCAAACGCAAGTCCTGTCAGTTGGGATCCGAGCCGCCTCCTGTCATATTTGCTGTGGACCAGTGGGCATTGTATTTAGCCTAGATGTGGGTTTTCGTCGTACCAGCCATCCGCATCCGATCTTTTTGGCTTTGTCCTGACACCGGACCCATTTGAGAGGGGAGAGACTGCGATAGACGCTGTGCAGGTGTGCCACCGCCAAACCAACTCTCGCGCGAGTCGTGACCTTGATCTGACTCTGCTGTGGAACACACAGTAGACATCGTCAGAACCGACGGTCGAGCTGTCGCATCAGTGCATGTCCGGCTGTGGGTCCATGGGATAGTCGTTGTAGGTCACTCACTTGCTTGAAAGTGTCGACTACGCCTAGTATCTATTAGCTGGCACCTAACTCTCACATGCGGCTGCATAAAAGCAGCCTCTGTAGGTAAATAGGTAGGCTGAATACCGTTTGATTGTCTTAGCCTGCTCACGTTAACATTTCAATACTCAGCAAGCCAGACCCAATGGCTGGAAGTCCTGCCCTTTTCTGCTTCTTCGTACCGTTTCTGCGTCGTCCTCCTTCGCCTTCTACTCTCTCTAGTCTACTCTCTTCTCCCACGGTCAGACATTCTACTGCGGGGACTGCATGCAATCTCGTAGGTGGCCCAGTCCACTAATCGTTGTCTCACTAGATCCCGCGCCTCATAGTGGAGGGCAGTATCCATGTAGTGCGACAAAACAGCACCGCTTACCCCTATGAGGAGAAGGCGACTATGAAAGGTGTTCTAGACAAAGCTTGGTTCACGACATCAGCGCTCAGACCGTGGCCCTCAGACTGCTAAGCATGCGGTTAAAACCAAAACACAAGACACCATACTCTCTCTCCTCCTCCTCCTCCTCCTCCTCATTCCACAGGCAGCTAGGATAAGTCCGCTCACTCTGTCAGCTTGGAATGTTCTTTAAATTTTAGATAACCCCAGGAGCAACCGGCCGGAACAAAGGACGGTGTTAGTCACTCGGGAACTGTAGTGCTACCAGGTGTAAAGTACTGCATTCAGCGAAACCAGATTATCTGAACAAGGCCAGTTGGAGGAGGCTGGTGACGGCCACACCTTCTTCTGGAGCGGTCGTCCAAGGGCAGAACTACGGGACGCGGCCGTCGTCCTTGTCATCCGGAACGACATCGTGGGACGACTGTCCTATCTGCCGCTGGACATCAACGATCGATTGATGAGCCTGCGTCTGCCTCTTGGTGGATCTTACTTTGTTACGATCATCAGCACCTACACCCCAACAAATATCGGCTTAGACTAGGCGAAGGCAAAGCTCTGTTTGAACCTGCACGCCCATCTGGGGACTGTGCCGAAGGAGGATAGACTGATTTTCACCGATGGCTTCAATGCCCGCATTGGCACAAATCATACCGCATGAAGGGGAGTGATGGGTCATCACGGAATCGTCGGCTGCAAAACACTGGCCTTCCTCTCCAGCGAACTTGCGCTGAATACCGCCTCCTGCTGACCAGCACCTTCTTCCTCCTTCCGATGCAAAAGAAGGCCACCATAATGCACCCCCGATCGCGGCGCTGGCAGTTGCTCGACTATGTTCTCCTCCGGCGTTGAGATCGGCAGGACGTAATGGTGACCAAGGCTATCTTCGACGCCGATGCCTGGACCAATTACCGTCTCGTCATCTCCCAGATGTGACTCCTTCTGCAACCGCGCAGGAGACCACAAGGTAAGCGACCTCCAAGTAAGTTAAATACCGATTTCTTGCCTTTGTCTGCTCACCGTTAGTATCTCAGCAATCAACTGATCCAGGGGCTGGAAGGACTACGAATGGCAGATGAAAACGCCCCCATGTAGACTCTGTGTTGCCAACTAGGGGACGCCGTCCACTCGACCGACCTGGCTGTCCTCGGTCACGTACTTCGTCAGCACCTAGACCGATTCGACGGCAACGATGCGGTCATCAGTAACCTGCTCGCCGAGAATAAAAGACTACTAAGGCCTAGCTCGACCGCGCAGCCGACGCGAACAAAGTGGCCTTCTACCGATGTCGCTGCCTTGCGCGGCGACGGTTGCGAGAACTACAGGAACCCTTGACTGCTCGCAAGATCGAGGAGATCCAGGGCAATGCCGACCTCAACGAACTAAAGAATTTGGTCAATGAGATCAAGCCGAACGATCAAGCCCCGATGGATCAGCGTTTCTGGTGGAGAGGTAGCGGATTCTGAAGCGTTGGACCGGGCACTTCAGAAGCGTTCTCAACCGTCCTTCCACAATCTCCGACGCCGCCATCAGCCGGCTACCCCAAATGGAAACCAATACCGACTTGAATCTACCGCCATCTATCCCAGAAACCATTCGCGCCGTGAAACGAATCTCTAACGGGAACGCACCGGACTCCGGTGCAATCCCAGCTAAAATCTACAAGCATGCTAGTCACCGACCAACTAATGGCGTTATTTCAGAAGGTGTGATGTTGCGGGCAGGTTCCTTGTGATTTCAATGACGCCACCATTGTCCATCTGTACCAGCGAAAAGGAAACCGGAAACTATGCAACAATCAGAGGGGCATCTCGCCGACCAGTATCGCCGGAAAGGTCTTTGCCTGAATTCTCCTCAAACGCCTCAACGGCCACCTAGAGCAAGGACCACCACTGGAAAACTAATGTGGATTCCAGCGACACCGCGCAGCCACTGCTCTTCGTCGACGATTGCGCACTCAACAGCACGACAGAAGAGAATGTGGGACGGAGCATGGATCTTTTCGCCTGTCGGCACCCTTATCGTACTTGTGGTGAGGTACCTGACTAATTTACCTTTGACAATTTAGTCCCACTTTCTTTGACCGCATTGCTTGTTTGAATGTGACGAGAAACGACACACCTGTTCAACCCGCCTCGCTAGCGCGCTCCTCTGTCGTGGTCTGTTGTCAGTTTTCTTAACGTTCAAAATCTCTATATTATTCACTGCTCCGTTTTTACTTGCTGCCTTAAGGCTAGGGGCTTGCGAGATATAACTCGTTAGTTCGTGACAACATTGCCTTTTACGACAGACTGACCACCAATACGGACAAGACGGTAATCGTGAATTAACAGCCATCGACCGCTGAATACAGTGTCCCCCCATCCGCGTCAACAAAGCCAAAATGAAGCCAGTGGGTGACTTCTATTTACCTAGGCAGCACAATATCTCGCTGCATCACAATCGATGACGAAGCGGCCCTCTGGATCTCCAAAGCCAGTTAAGCCTTTGACCGGCTGCAAGTCTTTGTGATGAATCGCCATGGCCTGTACTGAATACCAAACTGAAGATGTACAGGCCCGTCGTCCTGACGACACCTCTCTACGGAACAGAGACCTGGACCGTCTACTCCAATCATGCCAGGAAGTTCAACCACTTTCATTTCAGCTGTCTTCGCCGAATACTCAAGTTGAGATGGCAATACAAGAAATCCGACACGGACGTTCTTGAACTGACCGAAATCCTCAGGATTCACGCATGCTGAGGCGACTGAAACTACGTTGGAACGGCCATCTCCCCTGGAATGGAAGGTACACTTTTACCGAAGCGAATCTTCTGTGGGGATAACGCCACCGGTGCTTGCCAAATGGGAGGACCAAAACGACGCTACAAGGACACATTGAAGAATTTTCTTAAGGGAGTGCATATGAACCCAGAGACCTGGAAGGATCTCGCCCAGAACAGGCCGGCCTGGTTAATAGAAGCGATGACCGGCGCAGTCATCTACGAAGCAACTCCGATTGTTACTGCCAAAGCCATGCGGAAGGTTCGCAAATCATAACTTGCTCGCCTCCTCAATGCCAACCATCCGCCGGTTTCAACATGCCCAAGCTGCCAACCCGCATTCCACACGCGAATCGGTCTCGCTGGACACCTTCGGGCTCAATGCGCCATCATCCCAATAACGTCTACCTTCTTCTTCTTCTTCTTCTTCTTCTTCTTCTTCTTCTTCTTCTTCTTCTTCTTTTTCTTCTTCTTCCACTCCCCCTCGTTCCACAAACTCCGCGCCGACCGCCACCCCCGTCGGTGCCCTGCCGCCACCATCCATCTATACCTTCCGTCCTCCCCTAACCCCAGCATTGGCCGCAGCGACCATCTGCAAAGATATGAACTCAGTTCATACCTGTCCCCATTGCGATCGCACATTCAACTCACACATCGGCCCGGTCGGTCACTTGCGAATCCATCGCACGGATACTGGTGAATCAGTGCCTGGGAGCGCCAACCTACACTCACCGAACCCACCTTGACTGCCCTCACTGCCCCCGTACATTTACTCGCCACATGGGTCTATAAGGTCACATGCGCATTCGCGAAAACCTGCGGTAGACAACCCCGGCCACATCACACATCTTCCCAACACAATTATATAACCACTGCAAACCCTCGATTGCAGGACCCCACGCAAGTGAGAAGTGTGCTTCTCTGCCCCGTCTTTATGCGGCTCCTCTGCTGTATGTGGAACCCGACTCCGAGACTATCGCGGTACGCCATGGCATGGAAGGCTGCCGATTGACGTCTCAACTCAGTCCACGCAGTCTCCCCAGCTGTGTGTTTCTGTGGGATGGGGGACAAGTGGGCAGAGTTTCAGGCCGTAGTGGTCCCACTCCGATAGCCTGTCTCAACGCTGGGTCTCTCGCGAGTGTCTGCATGTGCGCACCAGGGCTGTCTAGTATTCGCCCATTCGGCTTCCCAACCAACCAATCAGATTCCAGGCCGAGTCAGGCATGTCCTGGCTTAAGACGCTTTGACGCATTCCCTGACGGACACTAGGACTGTCACTCTAGGCGCCGAACGCGCTCTCGTCCGGCTGTTTACTCTCTCCAACGCCTCTTCCAGTTATTCTGTACTGGCGTCCACTTTCTCTTACCATTCGGGACCGGGCCTGAAGTTCATGGTTGCCAGGGTCACACACTCGGGCTAGCCTGCTGCGATAAGGCAGGCACGGCTCCTTCTTAGAGCGACTTATAGCACTCCCACGCATGTGAGGAGTGTGCATTACTTAATGGGTAAAGCCTTTCGGTCGACGACTCAGCTATCGCACAGAGACTGGCGAACCAGTGCCTGGAGCGCCAACCTACACTCGCCGCATCCGCCTCCACTTTCCACATCACACTCGCACATTCATGCACCTCACGGGCCTCTTCGGTCAAATGAGCGTCCACGAAAACCTGCGGTAGACATCCGTCGGCCGCGCCACACCATCATATCCTCCCTAACCAGCATCTCATAGCAAATCAACAACACCCACCACAAGCACCCAAATGCCACCTCCCACGCAAGTGGGAGGCGTGCCTCTCGGCTCTGTCTCCATGCGGCTCTCCCGCTGCATGCGTGACTCGAGTGTGAGACTATCACAAAACGTCAAGCGCCGTGGCTTGGGAGGCTGCTGACTGACGCCCCAACAAAGTCCAGGCAGTCCATCCAGTTGTGTATGTGTTTGTGTGGAGTGGCGCACTAGTGGGTCGAGAGACAGACTGCCTAAAATCCTGGCCAAGTGTGTGTGCTGTGGACCTGGGGGTGTGGTGGCAGGCCTAGGTGCAGGTCCGGCCGCGCCAGCCACCTGCGTCCCCCACCGCCCCGGTCTTATTGACTCTGTCTTGACACTGGGTCCAGGTGGGGAGCGGGAAGGGGGAGTGCGGTAGATGCTGCGCAAGTCTACTATCACTTTAAGTTAATTCACGCGCAAGTCACCATGTCTGCCGCACCTTGCTGTGGAGCACACGGTGGACATCGTCGGAAACGATGGTCGAACTGCCGAATGTTATGATCAGCAATCCATGGCTCTAGCAGCCTGGTGGGCACCGGCAGTTCTCCATTACTTGGTCCTCCTGCCTTAGGTCCGTTTGCGCTCTTGCTGTGTATACAGGTCATGTGCATGGATGCCCAGCCACTAACGTCCTTCTCGTCGTTATTGGTCCTGGTCGAAATCTTGGCCAAGTATTTGTTTTGGACCAGAGGGTTTGGGGTATAGCGCCAAAGTGCGGGTTTGCCGCGCCGTCCATTTGCACCCTCCCCGTTTCCGGTCTTCTTGACTCTCTCTTGACACCGGGCTGAGGTGGGGGAGGAGAGAGTGCTGAGCAAGTCCACTCACCGTGCCTGCTTCACCTTGCTGTGGAGCAAAAGGTGGATGTTGTTTGATGAGACAGCCGAAGTATCAAGGGCTGTAATTTGAAATGGAAACATTTACCTTAATTAGATGCAGTTCACTTTGAAACTTTTCAGCCTAAGTTAGATAAAACAGGATGTAAATAAATATACTACTTTCAGAAATGTGGGAGTTTTATATAAAAAGTTAGACTTGCATGTATGGGCGGTATTATGACCCAAATACCTTAATAGCGCCCAGAGAACTTTTTTGTTTTAGCGAACTTTTAGTTTCCTGATATTTGTAAAAATGCCACATGTTATAGTTCGACCGTGGTTGTCGACGATGCTCACCGTGCGCTCCATGACATAGTAAAACAGACACGGTGATTTGCGCGTGATTTGGTACTTAGTGGATGTAGGCTTGCGTTGCATCTACCGCACTCTCTCCTCTTCCCCCACCTGGATCCGGTGTCAACACATAGTCAAAAGACCAGAGGCGGAGGAGGGCGCAGGTGGATGGTACAGCAAAAACCGGCACCTTGGCGCTCCATCCCACACCTCCTGGTCCATACCTAAACCGTGTAAAATTCGCCGTCAAGCAAAAATTTAACTTCTGAGCATATGATAATTAATTTTTTAGTGTAGTTTCTGCTAAGGCGTAATTTAACAATGGAATTGGCACTGCACTAACAGTTTTGGCAGCATTTTAATACTTCTATGGTCGCCAGGTGGGGCATTGACAATCGTAGAACTAATTCTAACAGAAAGAAAAGACGACAAAATTGTTTCGACCTGAAAAGACGAATAAATTCCGTCTACTGCGAAGAAAAACCTATGAACAAATTTTAAAGAAGTGAAAAGCCCGGGCAAGCGTTTCAGGTTCATAGGCAGTACTCAAACACAAAATTAAGGCACTTTGAAGAAGAAACGTACTAGGAAGGTTTTTCCTTTTTAAAGTGCCTATTCATCCCAGGCTTTGGCTGTAGACGTTCATCTTTGTCGGTTATATGCACTCACATTTAATGGCTCTGCAGATATGACACAAGCTATCATCTGCATGTAAAGAACGCCAAACGCGCAACTTTTAAGTGCTTTTAAAAGCATTATACTTCGAATGTTCTGATAGGCATATGCTGCAAAATCTACATTTTCGGACAGCCAATTCAGGACATCGAAACTGCAACGCTCTCATTAGATTGTCAGGGACACATTTCAAGTCAGAGGTCTTCACCGCTGCCAGGAATTCCATCATAATCGGTCGGACGTTGTTTGACAGCCCCACATGAAGTAAACAAACCCCAGTCACCTCTAATACGGGACCGGTGGCAATAGGGGTTTTTACAGGTGGGGCCGGAAAATGCACAGGGGACGAGATCAAGAAGTTGAATGCGAAAGAAAAGCTATTGGGAATGCGCGGTTGTACTTTGAATGGTTGTGAAATCGTTGTCCTAACTTCTAAACCAACCCCTAACTATAACCCCCAATCCTAATCCCTAACCATAACCACCAACCCTAACCCCTAACCCTAACGTCTGGCCTTAACTTCTAACCCTAACCCCAACCCTTAACCCAACCCTAACAGCATTGTGTTCATCATGCGGGACTACCAAACAACATCTTACCCAATAGTTTTATTGCAAAAAAGTGTTTAAGATACACGATAAATACTATGTATGCGATTGCAGTTCTTAAATTTATACATAGTTAAGAGCAAGGTCAAGGTTCAAGGCAATGAATAATCAGATAAGACGTCCACATAAGCATCATATAGGAAAGAGGGAGACGAAATGTTAACAACAAATCACAGTCAGGAGTAACTTGAGGCGTGAGATTACCAGGGCAATTGCAGATTGATCACGTGATCTAACTGCTTGCACAGGTCTGGTTTCTCCCTCTGTATGTAAGCTGCTTCCAAATAACGCAAGGTTCGAGTTGTTTGCGCTCGGACAAGTACACGAAAATATGCTTTAGGGTCGACAACATGACCGCTATCTAACAGGTGTTTCGTTATAGACGAACGGGGGGTTTTGTTTTCCTGTTTGAAAAGCCAATTAGTCCCATATGATGCTTATGTGGACGTCTTATCTGATTATCCATTGCCTTGAACCTTGACCTTGCTCTTATGCACTGCCATTCTGTACAAATTCATACTGCTATGCGCTTTCATTCTTTTTACATATTTATCAGTCTCTTGCCGGCCTCTCAGCATGGGACCTCACGAAAATTTCCACTTCCCTTATATCCCTTTTCAGCAAAATCAAACCATTTCTTCGTGCATTTAATCGACTGCATTTCAGCAATACAAAAACGAAAAGTTTCGTTGGATTATCGCAAAAACTGCTGAGACGCTGAATCAGGCATTGCGCATTTAACTTCGCGCCATACCTTACAATACATCAATCCTTCGGGATTATGAACTGCAAATGGGTTCAAAGAAGACCCTTTATGGCGCCATTGTCCCTATGCCATTTTATTTACTCAGTTATTTGCGTGTAAAGATTTGTGTACTTTGCAAAACTGAGTTTGCTCTGTTGACACAAATGTTTGCCTTTTTGGCGCTTACGTTTTTCTAAACGAAAAGGATATTTTTATCCAACGAAGTAATGTTTCGTGAATTGTCTCTCATCATCAGTTTAGTGTTCCGGTGGATGCGTTTGGGCAGGTTTCCAAATGAGTGCAGAGTTTTTCCTTAATTTATACATATTTTGGGATTTAGGCAAGTTATTTTCCGTGCAATGTACATGATTTGTAATTGCGTATGAGAATTTATAAGCGTGCATTCCACCAAAGGAAATGACAGTGTCTGTCCTTGATGCAACTTCTTTTACGTTGATTGTCAGGATTAGCATTAGCTTGATGGCTGTGCGCACATGGGAAGGAGGCCCCCCTAGCTTGCAACCTATGATAGTGTTTCTTAGTGAAAGCCGTTCCCGTCGTCGGGATGGCGTCACAAA